GCATCTAATTAGCTTGCTATATTTTTGCCCTATCCATGTCTCCTCTGACTTGTTTACTTTTTATCTATCTTTGTAATTTTAGAATGGAATAAATAAATAAAATGAAATAAAAAAAATGAAAAAATGTGAAAATCGACGTTAGCAAAGATCAGAGTGTAGTAATAGTGCATGACATACTCCATGTGTAGTTTTAGAGAGGTTTTTCCTTTTGCCGGAGGGAGCTTATTGAAGATGGATGAATAAATCGAAGCACTGTTAGAAACATAGTGATAATGCCATTTTAACGTTGTTTCAGGTTATAAGTTTTATCTTTTTCAATGAAAGTGAAACGTATCCAACGTTAGATGAGGTGAGTCTTGCTGTCTTTCTAGTTAGTTTTTCGTTTTTATAATTTATAACTTGCACCTTATTTATTTTTATAACATAGATAGGACCCTGCGCGCGCTCTGATTGGTCAAAAACCCATGTTTTATCACAGTATAAAACATAGAAAAAGCGTGTTTTATTGTTTTTCGCCACATTACCTCTATATCATAAAGCAAATAAAGAAGCCTAAGCCGTGTATTACACTGTGACAAAACACTCCGGACATTAAAGAACACTCGAGAAATGTAGGAAACACTCGCCTGTGGCTCGTGTTTTCTACATTACCCTCGTTCTAAAATGTCCGTCGTGTTTTATCACAGTGTAATACAAGGCTTAGGCTTCTTTATTTGTTAAACAAACAAGGTACAAAAACGTACCAATTTAAGAGATGCTTTGCATTATACTAGATGTTAGTGAAACGAGCCAGGAGAACATCCATCTTATTGCCCCCGATATTGCATTAACCTTGCTCTTCATTACACCGAGAGGTTGATGATTTCACTGATTTTTCATAACTAACCTCCTTTAAAGTGCCACTAACCCCAAAAATATTTTTTCCCTTAATAAAATCTACTAGTTTCCCTGACTATTTCTGCGAAAAAATTATCTCGATTGATAAAATTCCCGCGTTTCTACAGGCGTTTAAACACGTAATTCCTATGTTCACGACCGCGCAAAGTGGGATCTGGGTCGGGCTACTGGTGACGTCACTTCGGGAACCGGGCTAAAACACTCAAGAGACTTTTGACTGAGCTTTTAGGGCAGTCAAAACATTTTCGGGTTATTTGTGATTCATATTTTATCAAAACTGGACAAGAACTTTGAGTGAAAGAACTGTATCATCTAGCATTACAATTCGGAGTCTAGCTACAATTTGGACGG